GGGGGGGGGGGTGTGAAGATGCGGGAGATCAGAGCCGCGGAGCGAGAGAGAGAGAGAGAGGATCACAGCGAGAAATCGCTTGCGGCGGGGTTCGCGCGCCGATGCAGAGGCCACCGGGGAAAGCGCCAGGGCAAGGGGGTGGCAGGGGGTTCGGGGGGGGGGGGGGGGGGGGGGGGGGGGGGCAGGGTGAAAATGGGTGATTAATGTCTAGCCCGGTGATGAGTCACTGTGTGGCCCGCACGGGGCACAGGCGTGGTCGGCACCATTCGCTTTCGCGCGTGAGGGGGAGTATTTTTTTTTCTAATGCACGGATCGGCGAAGGCCACCTGGATGTGGGAATATGTGTGTGCATTGGGAGTTTCTGGTGCCGAGGCCGGCAGCCGCTGGATGGGGGTAAGGGGGGACGCCCGGTGGCGAACAAACTGGATGATGGCGTGCGTGCGCGCGCGCGCGCGCGCGCGGGCCCTGCGCGCCAGAAAGGTCGTTCTAACCCTGCACCTAGGGACGCTCGGGTGCCCGTTGCTGCATGCGCGCTAGTCGGGCAAACGTTGGGACGGGCTGGTGGGGTGTGTGTAGCGGGAAGCGGGCCGGGCGCCGGGGGGAGGGTACGGCGTGGCGGTGCGGGCTGGCCCGCGCCCGGACACACGCTCCTCGCTGGGCCGAACCGCGAGGTCGCCGGTGCATCGCGCGATCGACGCGTCGCCGGCGCGCGCGCGCGCGCGCGCGCGCGCAGGGGGGACCCCGGGGCCCTCTTGCCAAGGGCCTGCCCCAGGGGGTGGGGTGTCCCCCCTCCGGTGGCATCCGTCGCGGGCCTGTGTGCCACCGCGAGCCCCTTGCGCCAGGCCGGTTAGATGACACCCCGACTTTGGCGGCGGCGGGGGGCCGGGTGGTGGGTGCATGTGCATGCGAGTGGGTGTAAGTGTGTGCGTGTGCGGGAGCGTGAGCGCGTGCTTGTGCGTGTGCGTGTGCGTGTGCGTGTGAGGGCGGGCTGGCAGGCGGAGTGTGTGTGTGTGTGTGTGTGTGTATCGGGGGGGGGGGGGGGGGGGGGCCCGGCGCTCCGGGGGGGCCCCCCGGCAAATAGTGCCCAAGGCCCCCGGGGGGGGTCCCCCCCGACCGGCCCTCCGTGTGTGTGTGTGTGTGTGGCTCCGTTCTGGGTGCGCCGCAACGGTGCCTCGTGCAGTCGGCAATGGCACCTCCCGGGGAATGGTGAGACCGGCGGGTGTTCCAGCCAATTTTTTCGCCCCCCTCGCGGCCGGCTTGGAAGATGCCGCGCCGGGGCACACGCACTTACACACACACACACACACACACACACACACACACACACACACACTCTCTCTCTCTCTCTCACATACACACACACCAGCCGCCAGCCTCACGTTGTCCCTCTGTCGGATTGGCCAATCCCTCCCTCCCCCTCCCTCTTTCCCTTCCCCATCCACACCTCCCTCGAAGCCCACCCACCGTAGGCGTGTGCTTTGCATCCGTGCCCTACTCGCTGCGTATCCGGGATCTTCCCTCGTTTACGTTTGGTCCGGACGATCTAAGCCTCACGTGCACCGGCATCGCCACCGTCACCACTCCTTCGTGCTGTTGCTGGGACCTCCCTCCCAAAACACGCTTCTGTCCCTCCTCACCATGGAACCCGATGAGCTGGAATACTACCCGGGCGATGTGCCGGTCTTCCGCCCGACGTTGGAGCAATTCAGCGACTTTGCCGCCTTTGTGTCCAGCATCGAGCCGCAGTGCCTGGACATCGGCCTGGCCAAGGTAAACACCTGTGTCCCCCCCCCCCCCCCCCCCCCGCCTCGCTCGCTCGCTCGCTCGCTCGCCCGCCCGCCCGTGTGCTCCCCCTGGCTCGTGCCTTAGGCTGCTTCGATAGGCTCACTCCTCCCCCCTGTCGGCCTGCCCATGGCAATAGGTCATCCCCCCGGAGGGCTGGCAGCCACGCGCTCCGGCCGAGGGAATCCTCCCTCAAAAGCACTCGTATGCCACCGAGGCCAACTATGAGGCCGTCCTGCAGGACTTTCGCATCACCACGCCCATCACACAGGAGTTTGCCAAGGGTCCGACCGCCGGAGTCTTCAGCCAGTTGAACCTGGAGTCGGTGCGCCGCCTCCCCCGCCCCCCCCTCCTGTCTCTGCTTCCCATCCCTGCCTCTCTCTCTCTCTCTTCCCCTGTCTGCGCTCATTTCTGCCCCGGTGTTTGGCTGTCTGCTCTCTCTCTCTCTCTCTCACACACACACACACTCTTTCCTTCGCCCCCCTCATCTCCTCTCCGGCAGCGATCCGTCATGTACCCGCGATTCTCGCTGCGCTGCAACTCGGCTGGGCATGCGCCCCCGCCACTGAGCCAATCGCCACGGATTGCCTCCTCCGACAGCCAGGGCGGGCCTGCCCCAGGCCCGGGGGATGTCCCCCGCGGACGCCTGTACCGGCATCTGGAGCGTCGCTACTGGCAGGGGATTCTTAACCGGACCCCTCAGTATGGGGCTGATCTGGCGGCATCACTGATGGACCCGGCCTTTGCCCAGGGGTGGGATTTGTCCTCGCTACACACGCCCCTGCGTGAGATGCCGCCCGTGTCCGGCGTGAACATCCCCTACTTGTACTTTGGTGAGTTGTGCTGGCGGTTCGATCTGAGGCTTTTTCTTCTTCCCTGTACACCTGCTTGCTATGGCTCTGTTGCTCATCAGCCTGGGGTTTCCTTTTGTTGCCTTCTGCCCCCCGCCCCCCTCCTCCATCCTCCACAATGTCGACGCCTGTCTCCTTTTGCTGTCGCTCGAGCACAGGCTCCTGGGGCTCGACCTTTTCCTGGCATGTGGAGGACGTAGACCTATACTCCATCAACTACTTGCATTTCGGCGCCCCGAAGCACTGGTACACGGTTTCCTCGCGTGACCGGGTGGCCTTCGAGCATATCCTGCGGTCGTGGTTCCCGGCCGAGGCGGCCAGCTGCCGGGAGTTCATGCGGCATAAGACCTTCCTGGCCGACCCGGCTGTGCTTGAGCGCCGAGGGATCAAGGTGTCGCGTGTGGTGCAGGAGCCGGTGCGTGGCAACTTTCCCCTTTTTCTGTTTCTCGTGCGGCCGGCCCCCCCCCCCCCCCCCCCCCCGCCCACACGCGCCCTGAAAGGCCAAAACAGTGTAGGATGCATACGCAGCGACTCCGCA